ATAACAGGTATTACTAAGAAACTTGGTGTTAATTATGTATTTCTGCTCAATTCCTCCTAACAGATTTTCTTTAGTATTCTTCCATTAGGAAATGATATCAGGGATACTTTTCTGTGTGACAGCATAACTCATTTGTACCTGAAGCAAAATAAATAAATAAATAAATAAATAAAGGATTTAAATATTGCTTTTCTTTGATAACTTTTCATTTATAGGTGATTAATCACATTATTTTGTTTACATCACGTTTACAAAACACCTTCTGATTTCAGAACAATAATTTGATTAAGATCTCAGATTTTGTAGATTGTTTTGTAAAATATAAAAATGTGCACTACCTTACAATTGCTTGGATTTTTTTGTTTATTTTTGTACATCTGTGTATTTTCTAGTACAGTGAAATAAATATTTAAAGTGCTGATGTGCTACAGACAGAACAGACTTGCAGTGACTAATACATACTGTATAAAAACGTGTACTTCTAGAAAAATATTATTTCTTGAAAGTAATTATATATCAGGGTACAGTATCTCATGTTATTTCTTCATCACTTCAATTGAAAATAGGACATGTATTATAGGGAAATTACAGATCAGATTTAAAAGCTTGTAAAATGAAATAATATGCAATATATTTATCTGCTATAACCAGAATCTGGCTCTGCTGTTATTTATAGTAGATTGTTTTTCTGCTTGCTCTATGAATAATTTCTGATTTTCACCACTGTCAGGGAAGAGCCAATTCCTTGCACAACTGAAAGGATGAACACCGACACTGTTTCTGACAAGCAAAGTCTATGAGGGAGCTGAAGATGTGCAACTAGGAATAATCAGTGCAGCAAAATCCCTCACATAATTATAAACTGCTAGAAGCAAGAGGAAGGCATTGTAACGTGAAAATATAAACACACTGATTGCTAATTACATGGAGACAATGTCAAAGTCAAATAACATCCAACATAATACTGACAATACAAAAGATATTTTGAACACCTCAGAATGTAGTATCTTCAATTGAAGAAGAGAAAGTACATTAAAGTGAAAATATTTTGGCATAAGCAGTGTAGAGCTACCAAATTACTTTCACAGAATATTCCTATTTTTTCTAGTGGTAAATGTTTGTCCATTTTTATATATGTCCATATATACATTTAAAAAAAAAATCCCCAGTTCACCAGAAGACTTATTTTTGTTCTTAGCTTTGCCATGTAATCTCCCAGATGAGATCCAATTCATTTACAGAGGATTCTCATCGATTGCAGCATGAAGTCTTTTTCCATCCATATCTACCAGTCCTTTATGATGAAACGGTTTAGAGTAGCTAGAGTATAAATCTAATTCAAACTGGAGAGACTTACTTTTCTTTTTCTTTTCTTTTTTTCCCCCCCAAGTTAAGGGTATTTTTTCTTTTAGTGAGTAAATCACAAAAAAAAAAAATTGTAATAAGAAATGTATTTATAGATAAACTTAGCTGGCCTATATAACCATACATAACGTAGAGTAATGCCTTTGAGACAGCCTATATAGGCAGCATTTACAATGTGGGGCCCAGGGGCCCAGGAAGAATTCCCAGCGCAGGAAGACTTCCAGCCCTGAGTTCCTCAAACACATGAAGACAAGTTCTGAGAACATGCCATTTTTCCTGATTTCCTCTGAAGAAAGCAAGCCTGCAAGGACAAGAAGGGAGGTGCAGTGTGCAGTCACAATCTCCCCCTCTTTGGGCAGCTGAGGAAAAAGCCTTGATGTTCATCACTGTGTGCATTTTCCTGGCATCGACACAGTTCCCCATTTGAACTTCCCTCATTATTCAGCTACTGTAGAATAGTTATTAGTACTGAGCATCTTTTGTGACATATGGTGACATTGTCTTCAGCACAAAAAATGGAGCAAGCAGTCGCTTTTGTGGAAACTAATTTGGACATTTTTAATAATGTTATGCAATTCCTTGATAAATGAAGTGCAAAAGAATAACTCTAAAAGAAAAGTCAGCAGGAGATTTGGGTTAATTTTCCAGATGTCTGAAGAAGACACTTGAATAGTTTGGAGAGTATTTATACGGTCAGCAGAGCTTGGAACCATAAAGAAAAGGCTGCAGTAAAGATACATTACTCTGTTGCTTCAGGACATTGTTCACTAACCTCGCCAACAGTGTTATTTGATAAAAGTGACAGCATGAAACTCTGTATCTGGACCTCCCAGAAATGCAATATATCATCTGTAGACATTGTATTGTGGGTTCTATTATAATCCTCTGCCTGCACTACTAAAATTGCCTCACTGCTTGTGCAGCTTATAAAGTGTTGACGTAGTGTTTTACATGCTTGATCCATATCACCCAATTAATCTCTTCCTATGTTGCTTTTTTTTTTTAAATCTATAAGTCATCTAGAGAACAATTCCAGTTTTCTTCCTCTATAGCTAAAGGTGATAACTCTAACTCTGGTCACATATAATGCGTAGTGTAAGTTAGTTTTCCACTATAGCGAGAGGATCCAACCAGTGCTAAATGTGTTATGTCATATCTGTAATGGTCATAATTTTAAGAAAAGTATGAAACCTAATTTATTGAAAAATTTGAATATAAAAAATTGACGGTCCATTGTCCAGAATTTGAAAATTTCCTTCAGTTCTGAAAAATTTATTGTGCCTGAAAAATAAACGTTTTCCTTTATATGTCATACTTCAGCAATGCAGTCAAAGTATGATGGAATCTGAGTGTTAATTTTTCAAGTCTATTCGGAAATTCTGCAATTACTCATTACACCTCCTTACTGTATTAATGTTGAATGTTTTAATCTGGCTAAATATTAGTACTAAGCAGCTACTGCCAACTCAATGTGGAGCATCTTCCCGATGGCATTATCAGCAAATATCTCCTCATGGCATGAGATAGTTCTGCATATTTTTGGTCTACTCAGTCCCAGGACAGCACAATATTTGGACATGGGAAGAAAAAAAAAAGAAGCCCTCATCTTCCCTCTTTTCCTCCACATTAAACCAAGGGAAATTAATTCTTTTTTGCCATGTTTTGCAAGGACTGCGCCTCCTACTTTTATTACTAGCCTTTGAGCTAACCATTGCATTCATCACCACAGTCCCCAAAATAACTAGAGGGGACCAAAGGAATTGAGGAAAGGGAGAGTGGCAAAATTCAGGAAGACTCATACTTTAGGTGAGATGCTATGCAATAAGAAGATATTACGAAGAAGGAGAAGAAAACAGCTGTAGCAAAATGAATATGCTACATTCTGGGGTAAAAACAAGAGGAAAATATTTTAATCAGGAACTAGTCTAAGAGTCATATTTTTTCCACCAGTCAAGCAAAGAGCTAATCTATGTATACTCAAGTAAGGGTTGTTTGTTTGTTTGTTTGTTTCTTTGTAGGGAGACCCCCATTAAAAAGTTGGCAACACACAACTCAGATACTGCCTGTTCTGATACAGTATTATTCTAGACTTTTGTATCTTGAAATAAGCACCCAGAAACCTTGTGAATGCATTTTTTTTTTTTCCTTGACAAAAGAGAAAACTTTGTTAGTCTTCTTAAAGGTTATTGTGAAGATGCTTATGGTATGAGTAGATTATCTTTTCTTTCACAACAGTCAGGGGCAGCATCAGTGCTGGTGTCTGGAAGGCAAATATGTCTCTGTTAAGATCACTGGCATTTCATTAACGTACACCAGGTCTGAACTTGGCTCAGGTTAACGTTTCTGACAATATCCAGACGTATACAGAAAGATGCATGCTGACTCTCATTTCAGTCCAGACTAAATAGCATTTTCCCCTGGTAGGAGTCCCAGTGGTTTCAGAATCTGTCTGAGAACTTACCTATTATTCATCTCCAAAAGAACTTGTCTTCTATAGTTTATTGGTATTAATCAAAATCAGGCAAAATCAAAAACTGTGTGCATTTAATTATATCTCAAATATTGTTTAATGTAAATTAACTATTTTAAAGTATTAATTTTAAGATAAATAATTGCCTTCACATCTTTATTGTCTTCAGGTTCTGATTTAAAACAATGTAGGTATTTGTGTTGAAAACATGAGAAGGAAAAATATTCTTGCAGTTCTTTTACTAAAAATAGTACATCAGCTCAGGCTGTCTTTGATACATATGTTGCTTCAATTCTATATCTTTTATGTCAAATCTAGCATGCTGCTACTGTACATCCCTTTCATAAAAGAAAGCATTAACTAGTGGTCATGTCAAAATATGTCCTAAAAGCCTTGAATACACTTAAAGCTTACTTGAAAAGATAGCTGAAAAATATGAAATACTTAATGATATATTTATTTTTGTTGAAACTCAATTTTAGGAATTGTATTTTAAAACTGAAATCATATCACAGAAAATGGACAGATCATAGAAGATCATACATGATAGGAATACAGCCTAACAAGGATTAGTGGAGTGATATGGAGTGCTACTGCTTGGTTCATATTGTAAATATTATGTAAGAGTTTTGTTTAGTATAAAAGTATGTAAAGCTACTTTTTAGACAATTAGCAGGGAACATACTGGAAATAGTTCATTTTCCCTTTGGAATTCAGTTCTACTGTTTATATATCTTTTGCTTTAGTAAAAAATATTGTGCTTTCAGTTTTCTTGGTGACTTCCACCTGATGATCTGGGAATTCTCTGCAAGTGAAGTGCTGCTGTTCAAATAGCAGAAGTATTCTTTGTGAATGTGTTTGTGAATTTGACATCAGGTTTGAGATATCTGTGTTTTACAGTCCTTTGACTCCTTGTGTACCTTACTCATAGGGAAGTCAAGCTTTACCGTGCAAGTGAAATTTTGGGAGATTCGTACTATACTTTTTGCACTAAAGGAATGGTAGACTGACCCTTCCCTGCCTTGCTGGTGTTAGTGAGCATGAAAAGGCTGCGGAATTTTCCTTCTATTTCTATCTGAATGTTACTTACTGTATCACAGATAGCATGCAAATAATTTTGCAGTGGTAACAGGGAACTAACCATCTCCCTTTCTTCTTTCCTCAGTTTGTTGCCCAGCCCAACTGCCAGCAGCTGCTTGCATCCCGCTGGTATGACGAGTTCCCTGGGTGGAGAAGGCGACACTGGGCTGTGAAGATGTTGACATGCGTTGTCATAGGACTCCTTTTCCCAGTCTTCTCTGTGTGCTACTTGATAGCTCCCAAAAGCCCCTTAGGGCTGTTCATCAGAAAGCCATTTATCAAGTTTATCTGCCATACTGCATCCTACTTGACTTTTCTGTTCCTGTTGTTGCTTGCATCTCAACACATTGACAGGTCAGACGTGAGCATGCAGGGACCACCTCCAACCATCGTCGAGTGGATGATATTACCGTGGGTCCTGGGTAAATGTATTACTAAAGAAAATACAGTGAAAAGTGTTTTGACCCCTATGGTTTTGCCAAGCATTCCTGAGAGGAAAGTCATAGTTGAGAGTCATAAATCTGTCACAAATTATTGACCTGCTATAACAAATGTATGGTATCTATCTACTATGTTATCTATCTGTGTACTCCAGTACTTGGTAGAATTAGTAGAGAACTCAGGAAATGTTTAAAAATCCAAAGTCTACACACCAGTAGGATTTCTGACATACTACAGCGAGGGAAAAGATTAAATAGAGGCATGAAACATTAATACTGATAATACTTTTAGTATACATTTTCTCCAGAGCAGAAATTGTTCTGATTCTTCTAAATGTCCATTTAGTGGTTTTTTGTTGTTTTTGTTGTTGTTGTTGTTTTCCAGTGCAATTTTATTTTATTTTATTTTATTTTATTTTATTTTATTTTATTTTAT